GCCAGAGGCCACTTCAGCCGCGCTAAGGTGGAGTGGGGGTGGGGAGTGAATTTTTAATAACACCGCGCCCCGTGCCCGCGGCGCCACGTAGAATCCCATTGTCTTGGCCGCGCGTCGGAAAAAGGACGATGCGAAATATACGTACGATGCGTTACGGAACGGAATAAGAACGGAACGGAACGGAACGGAACGGAACGCCCGCCCGGTATTATTATAACGCGCCAGCGTGCCGCGGGGATGGCAGGAAGGGATTGTCAGCGACAGGACATTCCGCTGTCTTCGCGGGAATGCCGCTGCGAGACGTTCTAGGCCCTTTCAGTGCCCGCGGCTTCGCACATTCGAGTGAGATAGAGAGATAAATAGATAGATAGATAGATAGATAGATAGGTGGAGGCTGAGAAAGAGAGGGGGGATGCGAGGGAGAGTCTCGCTCGCGCAAGTGTTAATATTCTCCTCTCAGAGGCATTTTAATTTCACCATGACAGCGAGACACATATTAACGTTTGACGGCGGCTGCGTCGGTGGATCGATGCGCGTTAATCGCACTTCGCGCTTAATTGCGGTGCGCGTCGTACACTGATAGAAAGATATAGTTGAATTAACTATAATCTCACTATACTTTGTAGTTCATTTTGACGTCAACCATATTTTTATAGTTGGTGGAACCTGCAAAATATAGTAGAATAAACACAAATATATAGTCAATGATTGTCTGAAATAATTGTTTAGTTACTTTTACCACATATATGGTAATTTCTCATTCACAAATATAGTGAGATTTAATATTCATATAGTTACATCTGTCATCATTTAGCAAGTATTCTGGTAATATTGACTATATAAAAGAGTTACTTTATCTACCATTTTATATTTGTATCCTTACAATAAATTTAGTTTAATTCTACTATAATTCTTAGTAAAAATAATATATAGTTGGTTATACTATACCTGTATCGTAATTATTACCGATATTATGGTAATACTTACTAAAAATATGATATTTCGGACTATATATTTAGTTACTGTATCATTATAGTTCCAAATATCATATACTTTTCTCTCAGTGTACGATAACTCTGCGCAAACTGCGCTTTCAGACATCTTCAGTTGCTCAGCGGTTTGTCGAGATAATTCTGCAGTCGCCGTGTAAATTAGCGTACCCAACTTTTGTTTCGGGAATCTGCGGGCGCGATTCGCGATATTTCGCAGTGTTAAGGTATAAAATTGCGTCTTGATACAGGTCGTCGGTGGCCGAAATTACTCGACGAGTGAGTTTACGACGAGCGGCGACGAGAAAAATAGCGCGGCCTTGGATAGGTTCCTGGACAATGTTCTGAAGGCGCGGAACAGTTTGACGCGGATCGACGAAGAGGCGCGTCGCATCGATCACGGGTCTCGTCGGCCGAAGTAAGAGACGATTAATCTCAGACGATTAAGAGCATAAATAAAAAAGAATTCGAGTGAATGAAAAATTAGAGAGCGAATTCAAGGATCGGTGTGATGAAGCGCAAAGGACATCGGCGTGTACATAAATTGGGGGAATTCGGATCGTGTGTCGCGCGAATCGTCGGCGAGCTGCATTTTTCATAAATTTTCACGGGTCGAGCCGTCGGGACGTCTCGGCCGCTCCGGCCGAGCGGAGAACGAACAAATTCCCAACGCGCTCGACTCGTATTTCTACCCACGGCGATTTAGAGTCGCGAGCGATCTCCATTGAGCGATCCAATAAGAATATTTCCGATACAGTCCGCCGGTATATGCCGGCGAGCACTCCGAGGGATCCGCCGGCACGGAGGAGGACGTCCTAGGACTCGGCGATATCGGTTATGGAAGTAGGTTACGCGGCAAGAGGGGCTTCGATCGGAATTATGAAATGATGCGGACGCCGTGGCAGAAGAAGTACGGCGGGGAGGGTGCTCGCGACGTCCCTCGAAGAGTCTATCTGGACAATGACATGACGTTTAGGAGAGACACCGCTGGCGTTGATTTCGACGCGCTTGATCGACCGCGCGGCACGTAAGCGCGAAATCGAACCGCTCGCAACTCCGAGCGTAACGCATCTCCTTGGGATTTTGCCTGCCGCTTCGTACGGTCCTTTTTGCAAATCAATAAAACGACCCTCCCGCGTTGAACGTAGACGATTAAATCCCGTTCCTTCCAGTTGCAGAGGAACACTCGATGATAATTAGAGAATTACAAGGACAATTAATGAGTTTAATCAGTCGGGCGAGACACGCGCGTGTTTCTGTCCTTTTTTCTTTCTCCTCCCTCCTCACTCCATCCCTGAAACGTAGATCGAATAGAGCCGTCTACGGAGAAGGAGCGCCGGCCGAGCAGCCGCTGAAAGATTGGGTCGGAAAGAAGGATCTCCGTTTCTCGGGCGACTGGCCGAATTCTAATGAGGATCCCGAGGTCACCAACGGCGAGGACGCATGGCTTCGCAATGACGCGCCCGCTCGCGCGAATCTCGCCGATTCCGGTATCTCCGAAACAATCCCGATGTCGAGCTCGTTAGCCCGATTAGCGCGAATAGCGCGCAAAAGCGATGATCTCGCAGATTCGCAGGACGACGGGGAGAAATCGTCGCAGGGCGGCATCGGCGCGCGGCGTGGTCAAGCTGAGGTCGCGTCGCCGACACGCGAGGACAAGTTCGCGGCTTTGCGCGAGTCTCCGGCTGCGATCAGACGCGAGAAGCCCGGAAACACGGCGGCGTCGTCGTTGGAGTCTCTGAGGGAGACAGTGCTGGAGCTGAAGAACAGTCTGACAATGAGCGAACGGAACGGCAACATAATCTTCCCGAGAAGTGGTATAATTGCCATTAGAACGATAATCAACCTGATATCTTATTGACACATTGCGGAGCACGTACATGATGCTGAAATTTCCTTCGGTGGTGAAACATGCAACTGATGAATACGTCAGTAAAATGTCTTCAGTTGACGTTCATTCAAAGTATTACCCTTCGTGGGAACGTAGGGAACAAGTAGGATCTCGAGAAGTAGCGCGTTTCATCGGCTTAAAAACGTGACTCTGACCATCTGGTTGCCAAAGACGTCGACTCACGTCTCCAGTCCGCAATTTTAGCGTCAACCCTTAACCCTTTAACGCCTACTGATAACTATAGTTACCAGAAACGCATTTAAGAATCCATAACTTAGTCAGAAAAGGAGATATTTTCGTTTTCTTTGCACCACTTTTGCAAAGGTGTATTCTTCTTCTAAAAAAATGATATATAGATTGTATGTAGATTCGGTTTAGTCTGTTTTTGGCGCAGTTTTAATGATAACATGGGCGGCCAGTTCACTTTGACAACAAGAAACTGAAGATGACCGAAGACATCGGGAAGTGAGTACAACAAGCACATGCCTGTTAAGGAAAACAGTAAAAGACGTTGTCAATTGTGCAGCTCGAAAGGGAAGCAAAGCAGGACAAAAATAATTTGCGAAACCTGTAAAATTCCCCTCTGCATCTCTGCGATGCTTTATGCAATTCCATTCCGGGTAGATAAAGATCAAGTTCTGAATATGAGTTTTATGTTTCGAGAAATTTTTCCAACCATTGGGTATGATATAAAATTATTAAAACTAAAAAAAAGGAATGTAATCGATCAGACGTATTTTTCGCTTCTGGGAGTAGTTTCTGCTTGGAAAGGCAGTTTTTCGTAGATATAAAATTCTGATATTTTTGTCTAGTCATCACTACTTATAGTCTCAGTTCAAACAAACTCAAATTTTATTCTTAAAACACTTGTAAAAAAGTCGGGCGTTAAAGGGTTAAAGGCTACCATCAAATACCAGCCCAAGTTAACTTTTCTCGCTATTGTTTGTAGCAAAGTATATGCGAGGATCGATCTCTTATCATAATGCTGTCACTCTCCTGATAATGTAAATAGATAGCTGTAAAATTGTCCGTGTGGTTACGTTTCTCAATAGAATTAAAAATTCGCGCGGGGTGAAATCTCATTCACGGTAGCCTTCGGGTTAACATCCCCACGATGAGCATTGGCACTTGATCCTCCAGAGAAGTCCGACTGGTGGGAGGACCCGAGGCCGGCACTCGGAATGTTCGACCTTGAGCGATTACGCGATCTCGACGAGTATCCGGAAACAATATTGCGAATGAAGAGAGCCGGAGACAAGAACGACTCGCCGCCGAGAGTGGACCTCACGGGGAGATCGCGCGACCGTGGCAAGCGCAGCAGCAGAAGCTCCAGCGGCTGCTCGAGCAACGAGACGAGCGCGTCCACTCGTCTTGAGGCCGCAATCCGGTCAATCCTGACGATGAAGCAATACTCAAGGAACACGTCGGAAAACGCGATCGCAGCTCAGACGACGGCGGCGAACGCGAGCTCGCTCGCTCGGCGAATCGCCCGGCGAGGCGAGGAACCCGAAGCAACCCCGGCGACCGGCGAATCCACGACGACGGGTCGCGCAGGATCGCTCAGTCTCGCGAGCAGCTTAGCCCGCTGGAACGCATCCGCGAATTGCCCAAGTACAAAGTCCACGCGTCTGCTGACGATCGACAACGCCGGGGAGGAGAGACCCGAAGTCGCGGCGCGACAAGTATCGCGACTCGCCGCGGCCGAGGGGCCAGCGGAGGACGCGGGGGAGGTTCTTCCCCGGGGAAATATGTCGCGGTGCTTGGGCTTTCCGACGACAAATGAATCGCGCGCCGATGCCGTCGTCGTCGAAACAAGCGCGCTCGTTGGGTCGGGCGAGCGCGGGGCGGCCGGGGGGGCTGGAAGGGGAAGGCGCGAGCCGATATCCGCTGTGATCAAGGTCTTCGTCAACGGCTCCGAGCCTCAAGGGCGTCCGTATCAAAAGCGGGAGGCGGACGAGCCGGTAAGATTGTCTCGGCGAACGGGGGAGGACCCGGAGCGCGCTTCTTCTCTTTTCTCCGCGGAGGAGACGAGGAGAACGAGCGACGCCGACGAGCCGGGGGATGCGAAAGCGACGGGCTCGTCGAGCGACCCGTCGTCGGCTGATCTCGTCGGAGTGGCGATGGCGAAGCCGGAAGTCGCGAACACACGCGACGCCAACTTGGCCCGGTCGGTTCCGGGCAAGGACTCGCGGCGGCAACAGATGGCTGCGTCCTTGGCCGCGTCGGACGGCCGAGAGAATGAGTCGAATGGAAATTCGGATATCGATAAAGTCGATATTCCCGCCGCGTCAGGCGGGAACGAGACTGTCGCGAATTACAGGCTCGGTGGTCATTCACAGCGGAAGTTGCTGTGGATCCCCGTGGACCAGGATCGTCAGCGAGGTGAAGCGGTTACAGGCGATCCTCGCGACGATCGATCCGACGATCACGCTCGTCGCAAACGATCGACGTACTCGTTGGAAAATGTCGAGTCTGACGACGAGGTAGCCGAGGACGCCGAGAGCAGCAAGGCGGCGGCGGCGGCGGCAAGCCCCGACGAGAAGCAAGACGATAGCGAAGAATACCTGAATCAGAACGCGGAAGAGTTCGCGGCCGATTCTAATGACAGGGAAGCGGGCGTGATGGAGGGTACAATTAGACGCTGCTGAAACTTACGCTTGCGAACTCAACGACGCGTGAGCGCGCGCGTGCGAAAGTAAAAGCGACGTATCCGCGTTTGCAGAGGGCGAAGGGGAGGACCGAGCGTCGGCCGGTCGGAGGATCGATCCTGTGAAGGCTAAAGTCGACATGTTGATCAAGCGGAGGCTCGACAAGAAGGGCGGCGATTACAGGCGGCGATTACAGAAGCGCACCGCTTTGGATACGATCGAGTATTACGATTACGATGGCGACGAAGAGCAAGAGACGCGCGACGCGTTGGCGGACGAACGGGCGGACGCGGGACTTTCGCCGGACGATAAGACGAAGATAAAGCGCGGTAAGAACGCGACATCTAGCATGTTGACCGCCGCGTTGTTTGATTTCCGCAAAGCGGTATGTTTCCTTGCACCAAAGTTTCTTGCACGCTTCGTCGGCTCTTCTAGCGTCGATAATTTCCGCTGATTATTTTTCCACGCTCGACTCGAGCTCGAATCATCGAAGATGCGACGAATAAACGCGGCAAGTTTTAGTGGTTCTCTCTATTAGTTATTGTATGTACATTTAATCTATCTTAGTTGCAGTTGGTTGCGTTTTGTAGATAAATTTTACTACGTGAAACCCGTTAATATCATAGCGACAAGTGTGACAGTCAACATGTTGATAAATAGAATGAAACACAATATATGTATATATATATATATATATATATATGATAATAATCGATATAGGATAAAATAACAATATATGATAACAATATGGCAATGATAAACGATAATTACGGTGATGATAAACGATGAGAGAGGAAGGCGTAATAAAATCGTGCGCGAAATCGTTTGGCGCGTCGACAGACGGCAAAGTGCAGGTTTGTCGGCTGGGCGAATTAGGGAAGAAGAAGAACGAGAACGAGGAGGCAGTGACGAAGGAGGAGCGCGAGAAGTCGCGATTGAGGAACAAAGAGCCGAAGGAGGAGTTCATCGTCGACCTCGGCGAGCCTAAGAATAAGACCGCGGGAACTGGTCGGAAAGACGGCAAGTCGGCCGCAGATTCGTCAGAGTCGAGCCTCGAGAATCCGTTCGAAAACGAGCGAGAACGGTCGGTCGAGGAAAACGCGGGGAAGATTCGTGAGAGCCAAGACGTCGTGAATGAGAACCGTCGGGGCGAGGTGGCGGCGAGTGCGAAATCGAAATGGTAAATCGAACCGCTCAACGTCGCTGACGCGACGTCTCGGATCGTTGCTCGTTTCATTAACGCTTTGCGGACCGGAGACGTAAATCAACGTCTTTAGTTTCCGAAGCGTTGAAGACCGAGAATGCAGATTCGTGTGTTTAAAGGAACACGAGAGAGATTGCCCAATTGCGAGGCTCATTTGCATACACGTGTAATATACTGCACAGTAAAAATATGCAAATTGGATCAGCAATATGGGGCTGTCGTTATTCTCTTTCTCATATTCTTGATTTGAACCAAGGGCCGTGCAATCATTTACTTGAAAATTTTATATATCCATAAATTCTGATTAGTGATTTTTTTTTTTTACAAGAAAGAGAAAAGGATAATATTTGAACGAATGTCATAAACATATGTGACCTGGTGTATTTATTAATTACATGTTTAAATACCGTATAAAATATTATAACGTACTGTACGATCCACAATGTGTGTCAACACATTCGCTATTTGCGTTACACGCGCGCGTTTGACAGCGTTAATTCTTCTATGTTCACACGAACACAGAGCTTGTTTTACATTATTACACACAGAAAGAAACACCGCACTCTACGTGGAAGTGGTTTTCCAATTAAGTCGTAGTAGCGAATGTGTTAATTACAAACTCGAGTGCGCGGAAACGCGATGCTGTTGGTGCAAATGACCGAAAAACAGACGTCCGCGGTAGGTCAGAAGAGTCGTTTGAGAACAAAATGACATCATCGGGTGACTCAGAAGCGTCGTCAGGAGGTAGCTCTAGCGAGAAAATCACTTGGAACGATCCGTCGAAGTACGCGTCCAATGCGCGCGTAAATGTGGATCCTGATATCATCGAGAATATTTTATCGAATCTACAGCCGATCAAAATTTTGGAGCGAGATAAGCAGTCGAAAACCGCGGAGGACCTCTACGAAGATTTCGACGGCGAGCGGTACGATTGCTCTTACTTGTCTATCGAATGTTAAACATATCATCATAGAACATACTTATTCAAAGTTAAAGAACAAACGACGATATTAACTGCTTGCTCGCGCAGGATCGGACGAATATTATTTTTCCCTCAGACCGTCGCGATAGATTCAAGAGAGATTTGTCTTTTATATTTTATATCTGTTTAAAAGTTTTATATGTTCTCTCTCGGGTTAGCTTATATTTTATTTTGGGAAATATCGGGTTGCTAGATAGAGGAAAATATAAGTGAATTAAAAATAAATTGTGACTGATTTAAGATTGAAACGAAACAGATAGAATTCCGTAAAAAGTAGCGGAGGAAATCTGTCGGAAAACTGTCGGACGATATCAGATTGGCCAAACAAGAAAAATAAATTTCGCAAAAATGATCTACTCATTCTCGCGAAGTTGCCCGTGTTTAAGAGTTTTCTTCGCAGGCCGGAGGATCGTTACTATTATCGAGAGAACGATCGGACGCCGTCGAACGACGTCGAGCCTCTGTACGAGGAATTAAAGAAAGTGTACGATTGGCCGGAGGGTGAATTAAAGAGCGGACCCCGGCTCAGAGGCGATCAAAGACTGCGCTATGAATCGGATGATAAGCTTGATACGGAGCCCTCTCAATTACGGCCATTGGACGACGGATTATTCGGCTCGAATCAAAACGACGATGCACAGAGGAGACTCCACTCGGCCGATGCATCTTGGACGAGTAAATGCTGAATACACAATCATCCACGCGCGGTGCCTCCCATCCGTCTCCGTTTTCATCGAATCGACCCGCGCGATCTTTGAGCATTTTGCGCTAATCAGTATTTTCATCACAGACTTGCCTCCTCAACTTTTAATAGACTTCTCTCCCGTATCTCTTAAGGGGATTGGAGCTTTCAGATTACTGAAAAATCGTGCTTGTTTTTGACAATATTTTGCGACGAACTGAATAAATGTGCAAGAATGAAAATTTTAGATATATTTACATAACATATGAAGAGAGTAGAAAAATTTTGTTTATTAACAAATACTCATATAAATATACGTCCACTTAAAGTTTAAACGCGCTTTTCGGGAAATTTTATTCTTCAACTTTTTGCAATTTCTCCGAAACTGAGCTTCGTATCGATTTGCAATTTTAAAGCAATAATATTTGTTCATCTGGCTCTCAGATGAACCATGGACAATTACGTCAAAATATTTCATTTCGAGATATTAATTTTTTTATTGCAAAAGAATTGAAAAATTTGGATTTTTTCCTAATAATAGCTGCCATTTTGTTAATTTTGTTAGATTTTTTTTTATAATGGTTCACCGGATAATGATAAGCCTCCTCAAGATTTCTAGCTAAAATTCGCTCTGATCGAACCATCGAGAGCCGAGATATCACTGCAAAAACGACAACTTGAAAAAAAAGAGTATATTTCAGCTATATATATATCGTATATTTCGTATATATATCGTATATTTATATCGTATACGAGTATTTGTTAATAAACAAAATTTTTCTACTCTTCATATGTTGTATAAATATACCTAAGATATACCTAAAAAATACTTAAAATTTCATTCTTGCACGTTTATTCAGTTCGTCACAAAATATGATCAAAAACAAGCACAATTTTTCAGCAATCTGACTCTCCAGTCCCCTTAAGTCCTTTCTCTCTGCCGCAGCTCTTGCGATTTTCGCATGTCGCACGACGAGAAAATCACATTAATATTGCGAATTATTCGAACGACAGCCGCGGCGCCGGCGAGCAGTTATCTCACGCTCAAAGTCACGGACGACATGTTTAAAGGCGGCTTCGAGCAAAGCAGCGTCGTCCAGGAAAATTCGCCGAGCCTGCCTTCCTTCAAAGCGTGCACTCAGTCGAAGGTGTCGAAAGTACATGCGATTCTTATCAATCGAGAAACGTATCGGAACGTTTCTTTTATTTATTCGTTAGACAGACTCTTCCCCTTCGCGGGAAGTGAAAATTGCAACAACACGTCGTGAAATAATATCCGTCTAGATAACGGCAGGTGAAAGCAGCTCGCTTGCGGGTGGAAACGCGCCAGGACGACCGACGATCGACGTCGAAACTCGCAAGTCCGACGAGCGCGACGCGCTCAAGCGAGATGCGAAGAGGCAAACTGCGGCTATCAGCCCGCAGGACTTGCGCGAGTCCTTCGTGGAATCGCTGGACTGGCGCGACGACGATTTTGACGACGACGCGAGAGTCAGGTTCGGCAGGAGCCTGAAGGCCGTGGAGGAGACGCCGATTCCGAGCGGCGCGAACGAGACTGCGAATTCCGAGCCTCGCGATCCTCCGGGAGCTTCGCGCGACGATTTATCCACCTCGCAGGATCGGCGCTGCAATGCAACCGCGGGCGCGACCATCGTCCTGGACACTCGCCGTGACATCGGCGATCGCAGCATCGACAAAACGGTAGAATCGATCTCGACGAATACGATTCGCGCGGAAGATCCTGAGGCTGCCGAGCAAACAGACGCGAATCAGCCGACTCAGCGGATCAGACGTTCGGCCGCGTCGTATCGCGCGTTTGCCGACGACGCGGACGGGAGTCTGGTTGATCGGCCGCGTCTCCGGGACGTCCTGGAGGATCGTGCCGACGGCGTGTATCGCGGCTACGCGACTCCGAACTGGCACGACGACATGCTCGAGCGGTACTCGACGAGGCTTCGGAGCGTTGACTCGGGGAAGCGCGGGAAAAATGGAAAAGCTAATAACAAGAAGAAAAAAAAGAAGAAGAAGAAGAAAGAGGAGGAGGAGGAGGAGGAGGAGGAAGAGAAGAGTCAACTCTCTGCAAACATCCCGCAGAAACACGCGAAGGAAGGCGGTGGTTTGCATTCCTCTTGGAATAATCGGCGCAACGGAGAACGTCGCACGCATCGATCCGACACGTTGAAGAGCGACGATCGAGGCGATTGGAAGCCGAGGAAAAATCAGAGGAGGAAGCAGAAGGAGAACAGAGCCGAGGCGTCTCGCTCGAGTGGACGTAGCAGTAGCCAGAAGAGCAGAACGGCCGATCGGGGGCGGTCGCTTGACGCGGGGTCGACCGGGGTGTTGGGTGAAAGGGTGCTTTATGAGAACGCGGAGGATCAGAGTGTGAGTGTGCGAGGAGGGTCGAGGGAGGAATACGGGACGACCGCGCGGCGATCGCGTCTCCGCGCGGAAGTCGTCGTCGCGAGCGCCGCTCCGGATGATAAAAGGAGAAAAGAATTACGGATGATTTTTCAGACAGTGAAGCCGCTGGAGGATGACGCGCGGCGAAAGGAAATTACGCTGCTCCTCGCAGCCGACAACGTCGACGACGAGTCGCAGATGGACGTGGCGCTTCGCGGCGAGCTGGCTGGGAAAATCGTCCGGCAGATATTCGAGCAGGCGAGTAAAGGCCGGCGAGTCTTAAAGGGCGCCATCTTCGACGACGCCCACCCTCGTCGGGAGCGGACGGATTTCGCTTCCGACGTCGTTGTTCATTCGAGCGTCGGGAAATGTCAAATCGCGGAAGTAAACCAGCACGAGCTATAATAGTTCGCGTCGGTCGAGATCTCGGTCGGTGAGAAATTATCGCTTCGCGACGGACGAGAGAGAGAGAGAGAGAGAGAGAGAGAGAGTATTCTACGGGATACAAATCGTATTTAAAGCGCACGTTTCTTCCTGCCGAGGTAATCACGAAGAACGATCGCTGTGGGTGCGTAGGTTGAAAAGAACGAGCGATTGAGGAGCGTCTTCGGCCCCGGACTTGATCGTGACTTTAAAACGGAGGACGTGACGGCGGCTTATCCGCGGGGACTCGACGACGGCGGAGTAATCACCATCACATTTAGCCTGATAATTCGCGCTATTGAATCGCCAATTCGAATCTGACAATTCCGAACTAATCCCGGTAATTAATGCGATCCAGGCGAATCACACGGAGACGACGATGAAGCGAGTCATGGAGCTGCTCGGCAGACTGATTCTGAACGAAGTGCAGAGGAAGACTTGCGTCTCCTTATCCGCGGGCATGCGAGACTTTCTAGGATGGATCTTGGAAGTGGATCGAGAGGAGGAGTCGGTGGACGACGTACGTTCCGTCGTAGCGCGCGCCACGTCGCGCTTTCACCGCTCGATAAATATACAGTATTCGTACCGCGCAGGCACCACCGTTGCCGTTGGTCCGCGAGAAGGTCGTCCTGGAAGGAGATTCGGGAGCCAAATTCTTGTTCGACAGCACCTCCGACCGAGAAGCGAACATTAGCGACCTGCAGAAGAAAGCGCGAGTGTTGGAATCCCTCGTGAAGGAATACAACGCCCTGACGGCGCAAGAGAAAACGAGGGTTCAGACGGTCCACGATTACTTGGTACACGATCCGATTAAAATATCGTTTGTTCATTTAACTTTGTTAAGCAACGAGGAATACTGTCTCTTTTTTTTTTTTATACGGGATACAAATATCGGAAGAATAATTCGAGGAATCTCAGGATTGAGAGATTCTGCGAATTACTTTATGTTCAGCGTTCATCTTAACGCAGGACAAAGAGACACAGATAAACAAAAGAATAATCTTGCTCCGTCGCGGAAAATAATTCCGCGGTCGTCTGCTTTCCAGACTCGCCAATTAAATCTGCTCCTGCGGCAGATCGAAGCGCGAGAGGCCGCGGATACGAAAGCGGAGGCGCGCGCTGGAGCCGCGAGAGCTCGAACCGGGAACATTCTGCAATATCAAAACGCGATACCTAATAATGCTAATGCAAGCTACCCGATGACGACGAGGGACGCGTTCCCTTCGCCGATCGACGCGCGTAATTTTCTCCGGTTCGACAACGCCACGTTTGGAATGGCAGGTAAACTGCTAGCTGTATGATAACGCTCTTCGTAATTTCGCTCTTTGGCGAGTGCACTCGTCATTTGCAACGTCATTCGCAACGCCTTCTCTCTCTCTCTCTCTCTCTCTCTCATCAATGACGACGACGACTACGCGGTCAGTGGTGCGGCTTCGCGTCACCGGGACACGCATTTGCAGGATAAATATTAAAATTTCGGCAGGGGGCGCAGCGTGTACGGGCGCCGCGGGCGATGTTTCTTCAACTATCGGCTACGGGAAATTGGTTATCGGGAATGTGTTTTCTCTCTAAATACCGCGCCACCGTAAACTATCTCCATGCATTCGATAAAAGACCATGGCGGTTTCGGCCGAACTTTTAAACTCTGCGAGTAATTACACACATACGCGGAATATTTCATACGATCGGACACGCTCGCGCGTCGCCTGCGATGCCCGGAGCGGTCGATACGCATTTTTCCTTCTCACGCCAACGAGCTTATCGTGTTACATTCCCATTTGCCATTGCCGAGGAAATGATCGCACACCGCGTTAACGCGTCGATTTCCACTGATTAAGATGAACATCCGGATCGGAGACCGAGTACGCTTATTGTGAAAGTAAATTAATCAATAAATAATCTACGTGCTCAATCCTGAGAGTACACAAGGACGATTTTGCTGGAAAGCTTGAGCATTTAAGGCTTCAATCGTGATGCATTTTTCCAACTTGCCTGAACATTTTAAATCACTTGTGTTTTCCCAGAAATGGCTAAAATATCATTCGCCATGCGTCCCGAAATTTGCAGATCGCGTCGCGCCTCGTCGCCGAGAAACGCGCAGCCTTGACCGGACGAAGCGGCGTCACCGCTCGAGGAAGCACCAGAGCAGCGAGGATCGCGGAAAGCCGAAGCCGAAGCCGAAGCGTCGGGGACGTCGCAAGCATCGGGATCGCGCGAGCTCGTCATCCGGGTCGCGACGGAAACGCGCGAATCCGGAAAAAAACCGTCGGACCTCACTTTACTCGGGCTACGAGGCGCCGACGATTTACGACTCGCTCGACGTCCTCGACGCGGAATTGACGGGCAAGCGGAGAAAGAGGGAGCAGGAGTCGGCCCGTAGGAAAGCTGGCAGCGATGGGTCGGCCGATTTGTTGCCGATAAAGGGGAAGAATCGCCTGGAAGACGAAGTGATACTGCTCAATAAGCGCGAGGCTTGGCGGAGGGAGAACGAGGAGCAGCTGGAGGAGGTCGCGTTCGGCAAGGACATGAGGGACAACGCGAGCAGGGAGCGTGAACGGTTCGCGAAATTGACGGAAGCGGACAAACGGAGGCCGACCGACGACGAGAGTCCCAGGACGAGGCGAGAGGAACTCGCGGCTGGCGTGACGGCGAACGCGAGTCGTCCCGACGGTTCTCGCGCGACGTTCTCTTCCGAGATCGATGACGGCACGAACGAGTTGGAGAAAGTCGCGGGAAAGAGTACGAACGGGGAGAGCGATAACAGCGCGACGGGAGAGAACGATCTGAGATCGCTGGAGCGCGGCATCAATGTTTTCGCGGATAACGAAAGCGAAACTGCGGACGCGAGCGAGAAATCAAGCGCGATAAACGCGACATCCGATAACCATGTTAGGGGAGAACTCGACGCGATAAATTGCGAGGCAAAAATTGACAACGCGAGCGACAGCGGAGCTGCCACAGCGGGTCCAGCGAGCTCGACAGCGGCACGACGAGAAGTCTCGAAAATACCGAAAGAGATACACGATAACGCTGTTAAATTCAACCGAGCGGAGGACGAGCTGGACCCCGAAGTCGAGTTGAAAGATCTGAGAAAGAGAGCGGAGAGAGAGGAGAGAATCTGCGGCGTCATGCATCATGGGAACTCGACTCGCCACGGTGACGACGATGACGACGATGACGGCAACAGTGACCGCATCGGTAATAAATTAAAAAATAGATGCACGAGCCGCTTCGACAAGCTGACAGTTGACGCGGCCTCAATTCCCGGGAATAATTCGGAGTTTGTAAGATCAAGAAGCGATCAACGGTCGACCGATGTTGTCGACTGGAAGCTAACGCCGATAACGAGGCGACGGGGGTGTAAACGTCGGCGTTCGTTGATGCGAGAGAATTAATTCAACCGATGGGGTTAATTCAACCGATCTTTCTCTCCCGCGCGGTTAATCGACACGGCGCAATGTGACGCGTCGAGGGGAGGGAGATAAAATACGGTGCGAAGCAACGTCGACGAGTGTAATTCGGGTGAAAAAGATTTCTCTCTCTCTCTCTCTCTCTTTTTGTCCATCTCAGAACGAACGAGAGAAAGAGCGTTACGCGGCGCGGCACTCTCTCTACGCACGCGCGCGCGCGCGCGCGCGCGTGATAATTGTCGACGAGCGTCTGAATAATTTCATCAGATAAATCGCTCGTCGATGCGCGTTATCGTAATTGACACATTCGCCCTATCTGCGTGCCAGACAAGCCTGTGAAACCTCGTAAATCGTCCTAGCTCGCCGGGATGAACTCGGTGTCGTCGCGTGTTTGCGCACACGCAACCACGTCCGCGCTAATCCATCCGCGCGCGAAGACCACCGCTCTGCGCCTGCAGTTAATGGCGTTGCCTTGCTGATAATAATTAGATTAACAGATCGCGTCGAAAGTTAAGGGATTGCGACGTGTGCGAACGTAGCTCGCCTTGATATGTCGCGCGCCGAATTACCCTCGAAATAAAAGGCACGATCGTCAGAATTGCGAATTGGATACGTTCACGTGAGATCCGCGCGACAGTCTCTCGGCTGGGCCTTTCGTGTTCTCTCTCTCTCTCTCGCTCTCTCTCTCTCTCTCTCTCTCTCTCTCTCTCTCTCTCTCTCTCTCTCGCTCTCTTTCCGTCTCGCGACAAATTGCAAAGTATTACAGCGTATACTCGAAACGCTGTCGTCGTCTTCGGACGCGGGGAGAGCTTTTATAAAACGCACCCATTCGCGCGATAAAAGTCAAATCTTTCAAGCGCGCGGTCGCTACGTCGCGACTCAATCTCGCAGATCCGTTTTCCCATGTAACCGGAAAAGCAGTGCGTGCAGCGTGTTTCCCTCGCCTCTTCCTTCTTCTTGCCCTCGCCATTCCTCGCCTTTACCTCTTCTCTCTCTCTCTCTCTCTCTCTCTCTTTCTTTCTCAGCTCAAAATATCTCGAAAGTTTCCTCGTAAAGTAAGGCCACGCGGCGGAATTCCCTCTGGCCAATTAAAGTCTCGAAATCGGACGTGCTCGCTTATGCAGGCAAAACAGGCGAGGGGTTAAGAGCGAGAGAGAGAGAGAGAGAGAGAGAGAGAAGAAGCGGAAGACGGGGCGGCAGGGAGGATAAAGACAGAAGAAGGGAGAAAGAGAGGAAGGACGAGACACAGCCGTGGTCGGTGAATGTTATTACTTATTCGACTCTGGGATTTTAAGGGCTGGTCGGATTTATTTAGATATTCCGGCAGGAGCATCTGCTCGTGGTTCGATGTCTCTTCTCCGCGCGCGCTCTCACTCTCTTCCTCGGCCTCTCCCGCTCGTTTCGCTCTTCTTCGGCATTAATATACACCGGGAGCCGTGGGTAGCGGTATTTTTACATAACATTAGGTTGTTCGTGCCGCCCGAGACCTTGGTGTCGCGGTCTGGGTCACTAATGGGGGTTAAAACGCGAAGGCGAGACGAAGGCCGCGACGAAGTCGAGGCACGAACGCCCGCGCGGCTCGTCCTCGCGGGTCCTCAGACGTAAGAGATTGCCGTGGTCGGTCCCCCCCTCCCGCGACGACGGCACGATGACAATCGGCGGGAGAGACGCGCGTCTCCTCGGGGAAAATTAAGGAGGAAGGAGCATCGACAGACTGATTTTCGCAAGAGCGCGATGTTTCCTTGCTCCCGGCATTCTACGAAAATATAGTTTCTACGAAAAAAATGCGCTTCTCCGGAGAGTTTGATGAAAATCACTTGCGTCACTTTGAGATAAGGAGTTTCTCGAAATGCACGGGGATACTTCCCGTCGGCAACCGAGATGTAAATATAGTCCGCTCTCGCGTACGAGCGATATTCCGGCCCCGATAAGGACATATTGTTTGACACGTCCGATCGATTTATCGTCGTCCTCGTTACTCGCTACTTTCGATGGCGCGGCCGGTCGACGACCTCTATTCGCTCGCGTTCCGATCAACAGCGTTGGAGTCGAATGCAAATCGAGACCTTTAATTGGAAAGTGAATCCGACTATGGGTCACGATTATTCACGGCTGCCGGGTAGCAACCAGTCCCGATACTCGCTCGCTCGCTCGCTCGCTCACTCGCTCGCTCGTTCGTTCGTTCGCTCGTTCGCTCGTTCGTTCGCAGCCAATTGTTTCAAATCCCGCATTGTTCCGGAATCCGGATCAACTGGGTCTTACGGTCACGCTATTTAAGAAAACATTTTCGAAGTTTAATGGCGTCGGCGCAATTTCAACGGCGCGGCCGGTGCGGGAGTGCCGATGCATATTTCAAACTCAATTATCCATTATGTGTCGCCGACGAAGTGTGGAGATCGCGCTAATTTCCGATACACGTGTACGCGCCGACTAATAAAATAAGGTCGCCGGCAGATTCGACGAGGCAGCGACGACGCGCTACCGAGGGACGTACAGGGTGCAACATCAATATACAGATCAGTATGACGGGTTGCTTGCTCCTATTCAGACGATAATGTTTGATAATGTTGTTGAACGATAAGGGGTTGCCGAAAAAGTCACTCGTTGACTTTGTTCATAATGATATTTGCAGTGCTCCCAGTTATGATAAATATTTATCTCTTTAACTGTCACTTTCGTTTATTCTGCTCAATTCCGTAATATTGATTTCTCAGTTTCACTCTTCTAAATATCTTTCTTAATTCAATGAAGCTCGACTCCAGTCGATAAACTGTCGTAACCATCATGGTACAAAGTTAGTTGCACTTGTCATAACTGGGAGCACTGTTCAAATATCATTGTCAACAAAGTCAACGAATGACTTCTTCGGCAACCTCTATATTATTGTCCGAATAGGGGCCAGCAACCCGTCATACTGACCTGCATGTTGATGTTACACCCTGTACGTAAGCTGTTGCGTAATCGTCTCGGGTATTAAAGAATTTTACCCGCCAGTCCGAATGCGGGGTTAAGCGGATCGATAATAACCGCAACAACCACCGCGTATTTTTTTTTTTCCTTCAATATTATTCGCAATATAAATATAGGGGCGAGCTGACGGAAATGCAGACCTCCGAGAACAGATCGCAGGATGTTAGTGCGAGTAATCTTGAATTACTATTTTGAACAGAATCAATTGGTGCGAACTGGGAACGGCTAATGGTTTTCTCGTTAATAATAAATGGGGATGTGATAGTTTGAGAGGTGAGAGAACCGGTTCGCTGCATACGGCATAGGGAATCCGGCTCTCGCCTGTCATTATACGCGATGCGCTTTTAAGATTTAAGCTTATCCCATGATTTAAGATTATCCGCGTATCCTGCGGCCGGCTCTTAGAGACTTACATTTCTCTCACTTGAATGTTATTCCTTCGCGCTACGTTCTCCCGAGAGCAGCGCGATGCACAAGTCCGCGTTCCTCCTACGATGACGATGACGACGACGATGACGACGACGACGACAAGTTTCCTGTTCCTGTCGACGAGGCCGAACAAAAAATCGAAGGTCACGATGAACCGAGGGAGTGACGAGGCGACCGAAAATCCCAGTGGTGGCAGTAAGGGGGACGGGGTGGCCGGCCGGCACGCACCCCCGAATGACAGATGGTATTTTCGCGTATCATGATCGCGGCTCTCTCTCTCTCTCTCTCTGTCTCTCTCTCTCTCTCTCTCTCTCTCTCTCTCTCTCTCTCTCTCTCTCTCTCTCTCTCTCTCTCTCTCTAGGATAGTTTCCTATATCGTAGAATATACAGCTCCGGTCTGGCATCGTCGACATGTCGATAGCAGGCCTCGCCGTGCGATACATCCACCGATATCCCCATACCATAGGCATACCCGCGGACCATCCCCCTCGTTCGACCGCTAAATGGCCAAGCGAAGCCACCCCCATGGTGCTCAATTATTGATACTTACCCCTCGCGTCGCCTCGCGTGCGCGTTTCCAGGGCTGCGTGTACCTCGATGCGTCTCCCGATGCGTGGCACGGCGGATGCACTCTGGAGCGGCCAAGGAGACTATCGGAGGATTCTCGTCCTGGAGGAATATCAAGGATGCGGCTGCTGGCGCGTTTTTTACCACTCGGTCAGCGCGAGTTGAAAACGCGGTCAAAGTGGCGGATATTCGGAAGATCGCTCTTAAACGTTCTCGAGGTATTCTTTTATTTTCTCAGACCGCGAGCTTGATTTCCTGTTTTTATTATCCTGCCTCTCGCGGTTTTGCGCGCTGGCAGCAAGCCGCGGGTTCTTGAGGAGAATTAAATCCGGGGGGAGGCGTCCGTAAAAAATTGATTTGACGTGTGTCGAGCACAATTTCTTCTGAAAATACAACTCGGTATTCCGTCTCGATCGAGAGCACTGTTCGGTAAGCACGCTCGAGAAGCGCCGGCTTTTATGCATAAGTCCGCCTTTCGCCGGGAGTTCCGGTAACTTGCGCAAATTCGCGATGCTCACGAAATTAGCGGTCGATGCCGCGGTCGCCGGCGAAGCCAACGACGCGTGTGCATCGGGAACGATTCGAGGTATCGCCTCGAACGAAGTTTCACGACGCCACGGGAGTTCAGTTACAGAAGCAAGACCGAACGGCGCAGTTGGCGAACTTGGGTATCGGCGAGCGAGCGAGCGAGCGTTTGAGAACCTCTGTTGTCCGCAATGGCCTCGATTAACCGTTTGACCGGCTAGAGCGAACGGTGGACGTTTTCCAAGCAGGCTCTATTAGATCTACCGGAAGTCCGGCGCAGGTTTCCGGAGGCGGGCGAGTCGTCGTTTCACAATGTTTCTTTGCATCGAATTCGGCTAACTGATCCGGACCGGAGGAAAAAGATCCAAAAAGCGGCCGCGCTGATTGGAAGTTTTCTCCGTCCGGCAGCGCGGCGTACCTCTTTATCGGGAGAGACGTCGGGAGAGATGGGTCGGTAGATAGATAGGTAGATAGGTAGATGGGTAGATAAATAGCGAGAGAGTGGGGGGGGGGGGGGAGAGGTCGATGGTCGTGGCTTTAATTGACAGTAGATTTCGGATTTTGGAATTTAAGCGGCCCGCGCGGTACGGCGCGCTAATGAGTATCGAAATTGCGGCTTTCGAGAGCGTTTTTCGAGAGTGCGCTCGCGGCTGA